CAGCTTTCTTTATGCAGAGAGCTGTGTGACGATCTGGCAGAAGACTTAAAGAAAGAAGCCCTGAAGGTATGAAATAGGAGCTTTGTTTTGTGGTTTCCATGTGGAGAAAAAAGGTTATTTGGTTTCTGCACTCATTATTGGGCCCAGTCTGGGTAAAGATCTATAAAATGCCTTAAAATAAATTGAGATTTTATTGCAGGAAAATAATCTGGCAATTAAAAAAAACGAATAAATAAATAGGCCTCTCTGGCATATTTTCACATATAAAGGTATTTAAGATCAATGTAAGAACACTTTTCCCTGGAATATGTTATTGTCTCTGTAGGATCAAGGGTCACCAGATTTAAACACAAGTAGAAATGTTACTTGACACACGTGACTTGTAGGTTCATATTGGTGAGAAAACGACGTCCTATTCTTGACCTTCCAAGGATCACTTTGACTCTCAGCTGAATTTCATGCAATATCCTTAACCTGTCCATTTCCTTTCGAATCGATAGAGGAGGAAGTCGAGGTCTCAGTGCAGCCATCACCCCCCTGCCTGAGTCCCCTGATAGCAGGAGAAAATGGAGGCCATTAATGAGACTATCAGCCTAGGCAGCATCTCCCCCCTGGAAATGATCACATGACTATGAAAACTGACAAAATGCACAAAGACAGATCAGTCAATGACATGGCACATTACACAGATTTCCATCTCCCTTCTGTTTCCAGCATCTTGGGAACAGACCTATTGATTATTAGGAAATCAGAGAGAAACATTATTTTTTTTTTTGTGTGTGATTTCCTCTTTTACTCTCTGTTTTGTTAAGGGTAAGACGGTGACTCTGAAGATCAAGAACGTGAACTTTGAGGTGAAAACCAGGGCACAGACGCTCTCGTACGCCGTGGCCACAGCGGAGGACATCTTCGCTGTCGCTAAAGACTTACTGAAAACGGAAATAGAAAATGAAAGCCCCCAACCGCTCCGATTGAGACTCATGGGTAAGTTCATTCAACATTACAACATTTTCTTAAATGTATCCCTTTTTCTTCCATGTCATAGTTCTGCACTACTTTGTGTTGGTTTGCCACATAAAATCCTAATAAAACACATTAAACGGTGGTTGTGACTTAATGTGGAAAAATTCAGAGTTCCCAAATGCATTTCAAAGGCATTGGACCTGGCGTTGCTTTCTAAGACTTGAATATTTTGCCTTTATGCTTGCAGGTGTTCGAATATCTGCCTTCGTTAGTTCAGATGGCAAAACACCGATGCAGAAAAGCATCATTAGCTTTCTTCAACTGGGCAAAAGAGACCATAGTCGCTCTCCCCCAATAACGCATCGAAAGCCGGAAGTTGGGAACTTGTGCGACCACTCGGTCCAAACCTCTCAGCTTGTAGATGATCCCCCAGTAGAGAATGGCCAGAAACAAAACAAGGATTTTTGGAGGAGTAAGCCGAGGCTCACTGGTGAGGAACCACAGCAGTCTTTCTTTCAAAGAGCTCATGCCAAAAGACTTGAACTCCAGGCTGCACAGCCAAGTCCACAGGATGAAGGATGTGAGGAACATGTTCCCGTGGTTACCCCCAACAATGGGACAGAGTCATTGAAACAAGCAAACACAGACGACTGCACCGTTCAGGATCTTTCTGAAAACGAACTGGCTTCCCACGTGCAACCTCATGCATCCACGTCAGGCTGTGGGACTCCCGCAGAAACCTTCACGTGTCCTGTGTGCTTCGCAAAAGTGAAGACAACCGATCTGAATGTCTTCAACAGGCATATAGACTCGTGCCTCAGTGATGCTGCGAAGAGGGAAGACGAAGCCTCGGGCTCTGAGTCGGATCTGGATCCAGAAGACGACCATCGAAAATCTACAGTTGTGACCCAAAAAAAGGAGAAGCCGCGTGACCTTAAAAACGAGGCGTCGGCAAGCGGCGGAGAGCTGGACTTAGGCAGAGTATCACCTCAAGAAGGCCAACAAACCTTGAAGAACAATTTGGTTTCACTGAATGAAGTTGACAAGAAGCCTGTGGCGTTACAGCAGCAGTCGTCCCTCAGTAGGAGTCCTCTCCTGACTTGCCCCGTGTGTCAGCGGGCCCAAGATACGGACGACCTCGCCGTCTTCAACCACCATGTTGATCTCTGTCTCAACCAGGAGGTCCTGCATGAATTCGGAGGACAGACGGCCTTTACTGGGAAACCACCTGCTGTTAAAAATAGCTTCAGCGTAGGTAAGTGTGTGTCCTTTACTTCACGTCTCATTAGTATCAGCTTTATTGATCAAATGTGAGCGTCATTTAATTCTAGGTTTTCAGAACATTATGAAATGATCCGTTCTTACCTGCCTCTATTATCATGCAACATGTCCAAAACACAAAGTACGAAAAATAAGTACAACCTTTAAGTTGCAATGGGTGTTAAGAAAACCAAAAACCATTGAAAAACGTTAAATCTCTTATATAAATTATGATCGAAGTATGCATATTTTTGTCTCTCTTAATATTTTATATAAAATGAAGCACTCCTAGAACAGGATCAACAAAATGTGTTGCGAAAAAAGTGAAAAGGTAAAACTGGTCAGCAGCGGCAGGGAGAGAGATATATGCTCCTCTTTATCTACTGAAAGGTTCATTTTGTTCAGCAGCTTCCTAGATAATCAATTACCCGCTAGTTGGGCTCTGGGTTTGTCATTTGCTTCTTCATAGGTCTTAAGGAAAGAAACAGCGATGTTAAAAATGTCCATAACCTATAAGCACACCCTGAAGAAGCATTGTCTCGTTTCAAAGGGCTCTCAGCGACCTGTGACCCTGTTATTTACCGACTGTGGCACTGTATGAGAAGTTCTTATTGATCCTGACAGAGGAAGGACATCTCATTTCACCCCTTGACCCCCCACTGGCCTCGGCCTCTCAAATGGCTAAATCACTTTCTATCCTATCTATCTGCAACAATGAACCGAAGCCTGGTTTCCTCTTAAACGATCCTGCTTCTGGAGGTCTGGGCTTTATGTTGCTGGAGATGTGTTACACATGGCTGTTTTATTTATTTATTTATTTTTTTTTCATTGAAGAGATCAGAGGAGTTCCTTTTCTCTTCCATCTAACAAGCTGGTTGTGTGTCTCTGCTTGTAGACAGTGGACATCCCCTGCCAAGACATGCAAGTAAAGGCAAAAGCAAACGGTGAGGCAGTGTGTTTTTCTATATACTATCTTCACATCTTTGAAGTTTCTTGCATTTTGTCATATTATAAGCACACTTGAAAGCTTTTAATTTGGTTTTTTATGTAAGATACCTGCACAGACCAACATAATTGGGGCCACGAAAGGAAAATTTAATGCAAATGAAAACGAGATAAGCAAGGCTTGTGCCTTTCACCTTTCATGGTAGTAACAGCTTTAACTCTTCTGATCTAAACCATTGCATTACAGCTCCAGGTGTGGGTTTTGGACTTTTGTTATGCTTGAAGATCCACCTCATTCTCAAAGTCTTTTTCAGCCTCTGTCATATTTTCTATTTGAATTTCCCTGTGTTTAGTTCCATTCATTTTCCCATCATTTTCTGAGTAATGGGGGTTGCATCCAAATGCATATCGCAGATTTCAGATTTTAATTAGTTTTGTTTCTTTTTACATATGCAGATAATCCCTTGACTGGGATTCCTGAACGTGTTTAATAGCCAAATGTTTTGTTCTTTTTGTCTGCCGTCTATATTACTGTTGGAAATGCAATTTAAAAAGTATTTTTTTCTTTCACTCCACATTCATGTGTAACACAGAAAATCCATATAAAATGCAGTGAAGTTGGTGATTATAACACGACAAAAAGTGCAAGATCGATACTAAATATAATTTCCTTCACGAGCGCCGTAGTAACGACCATTTCCTGTGCATTCACCTCTTTTCTTAGACGAGACACGCCGTCCTCTCCTCCATCTAAAAAAGCCAAAAGCCTCGGACTTTGCAACACCATCGACAAGTTCTTCAGGTGACAGTAACCGTGTGGGAAAATATCAGTCTGACTTTTCTTATTTTCTGCTGTCAAGAGACACCAGGCTCTTCCAGTCTGAGGGTTTTTATGTCGACTCGTTTTATTCGTGCCAGGGCCGGAGCCGCTCCACACACAAGGACACATTTAGCTTTCTGCTGCGACACCAAGCTGAGCACTTGCACAGATTAACTTCTTTTAAGCCATAAGCAAAAGTAAAGGTGACAAAAAGTAGTTTAATTGCAGAAAAGTAGGGATTTTTAAATAACTATGAAGTTTGCTGATTCCAAATTCTTTTGTCAATGAAGACGGATAGATGAAAACTTTAATGATGTTATAATAATGTTGTATGAGTATGGTAATTTAAAGATGAGGATATTTGCTATCAAAATTATTTTTCTTCTATTTTCATAATTTGTTGTTGTATTTCTTGCAATTAATAAATATTGAACTTGAAATGTTGCTGTTGAACTCGTTGCTCATTCATTCTCCATTAGCTACTGATGTTTCAGCAAGGAGGCGGGCATTCAGATCGCTGCATCCAAAGAATATTGGTGGAAAGTTTAGTGGAAGGAAAAGATGTGGCAGATAAAAGTACTTAAGAAACAAGAATAAGAACACGTGTGAGAGAATTTTGAGGTGAAGATCGCTCAATAGCTTGAGGGAAGAATCTCGAGTCATGGACTGGAGCAGGGCTTGGAGCTTCATATTTATCCTGGACCTGGACTACAAATATCACTTTCCTTGTATCTTGGTGCCTTTAAAACAGATGCAACATTCTAAGATTTTTTTTCTTTTGGGGTCAACAAGAAAAAAAAGACAGTAGTGCTGCTCGTTTACAAGCGTAGGCTTGCATTTGGATGTGTTGTCTGCTGTAAGCTGGAGTTATTACTAATGGAAATAGCAGTCCTTAAAAAAAGATCACTTTTTTAATGTTTAATGATTCTGTGTTATTTTGCTTTTTGAATAGAATCACTGAAATAAATGTCAATATTTTCATTTATTGAAACTGACATATCAGCCTAAATAACATGAAAATGGGCATTTAGTTGATCTGTGTAAATCCTGCACTAAAGTCAACAAAATGCTCAGCATTACATTGTTATGTCTTTTAGTGAAAGGTAAATACTGTGGTTCTGCCACCCGTTAGTCACATACACAGCTGAGGCAGATAATGTTAAACATTATCAGCTGACTTTTTGTGGGTGTGAGCAGCGAAAGCAAACATGGATCAACCTTTAGGAAACAAGTGAACGCTTCCATTTAACGTCCTGCTGTTTCTCTTCAGACTGCGAAGCTGAGTAAAACGGTTTGCCTGACCTTTTACAAAGAACTTATTCATATTAAGTTAAAATGGAGAGAAGGGTTTTGTCTGTGAGGACGAAAATAAAGGATAATTGTCCCAAGAAGGAAAAGCTGGACCTCCCAAAGTGGATGCAACGGGATAATTTCAGGGGACCGAGAAAGCACTCGGACAGAGAGACTGATGATGAGAGTTTTGACACCAAGGAGATGTGTGAGTATTGCGACAGCAAGCAGAAAAACTGGAAAATTAAAAGATGTGAGAGCCAACACAGCCTTAACAGTATTCATTCAATTTTAAATCAAATGTCTCTCAAAACACGACCGTGGACGTGCTTTCGTAACATTGTGTGTTCTGGATGCTCGAACATATGTTGGTGAGGGGATTTGATCAGAAGATCCTGGGCAAACCTTTAACAGAAGCAGCACAGATGGACATTTGCCTTTTCATTAAATTTCCTTTTATAAATTGTCAATTGTATTTATCTGAAGTTAAGGACAAGGAACAGGATGACTTTCTGCTGGTTGACAAGTTTGTGGTGAAATAACATGCAGTTTGTGTGAAATCCCCTGTTGTGTTGAGCAGTACTCGACACCGAGAAGCAGTTCATGGAAGCAGCAAAGAGGAATGATGTGAAAACCTTGAAGCATCTTGGAAAAAGTCTGAACGTCAACGCCAAGAACGTGGTGGGTAGAAAAAGTGCTTGCCTTTTTTGATTTTTGAAGGGCATACATAAAGTATCGTCAAGAATAAGCGTTTGGCAGAAACTTTCCACGACGAAGCGCTAACGTGATCTGTAACTGCAAAAACAGCACAACAGGACAGCCCTTCACTACGCAGTAGCAGGCAAAAACAAAGAAGCAACTCAGTTCCTTCTGCAGCGCAGGGTCAAAGTGGACCAAAAGGACAAGGTGAGATGGTTGGAAAGTTTTAAAAAAAAAAAAAAAAAAAAGAACAATAGGTTACATATCTAAGTATAGTTTTGTGTTCTGGTTATGGCAGTATGGCATGGCACCCATTCATCTAGCTGCCTGGTTTGGCAGCTTGGAGATCCTGAAATTACTGGTGCAGGCTGGGGCTGAGCAGAAGGTTGAAAATGAGGTAAAAAAAAAAAATACATGATGAGATTCTTTGACTTACACAGAATACACACATGTACCTAATTTAACGCAGAGGATAGCAATAAGACAGGTGAGGTGTGTAGATTTTGTAAAAACTAGCTACTCACAGATTTTTTTCTTCTTCTTCAGGAAGGGCTGAACATCATGCAATGCGCTGCCATCAACAACCACACTGAAATTGTAGAGTATATTATCAATGATATGCAGATGAAAGAATTAAACAAGGAGGACCAGGTATATGTTTTATTAGAAAATAGATCATTATGAAACACAGCATATTTATAAAGTGCATCTGGAACATGAAGAATCATTTAGTTCTAAATTTACATCTGCATCAGTTAGTGAGTCTGATGAACCTGAAATACAATTTATTTTTCCTACTAGTTCTCTTAACATTTGCATCATTTCGCTAATGTGTAAGACTGCAACATGGAAGCCTTTCACTTCAAAGACAACCAAACTTTACGATCATCAAGGTCAAGTCTGAACATAATCAAAAGAGCTCCTTACCCACAGTGAGACGTGGCGGTGAAAGGAACATAGTAATGTTACTTTTCTTAAGATGGAACTGGGGAGTTTCAGTGAATGAATTTATGACAGCTATAAATACCATCAAGGTGATGTCACGCATAATCATGGAGATTTGGAGGAGGGAAAAGTGGATAGATATCAAAACGTCAAGTTCTGGAGAAAGATTCCTACCAGTGAATAATGAGGGATAAAACTGCATCAAATGTCAGGCTGTGCACATTTATGCAGCAAAGTGATCATGTTTTACTTTCAAAAGCTTTTGTTCTCAGTTGAATTATGCAGAACATATGAAAAGTTTAATACACACCAAAAAGAATGATTTACCTTATCGTCCTCAGTCAGTGTTATTTGAAATAAGGTTGTGGATTTTTTAAAAAAATTTTTAGATTCATTGTGTGTTGCTGTTCTCACCTCCATTTTTTCCCTCTGTATTCCAGTCAGGACATCTTCCATTTGCATTGGCAGCAGAACATGGGAGCATTGAAATGTTAAAAATGCTGATGGAGCCATACAACATGGCCACAATGAAGCCCAACAAGGTCTGTGCGTCTGAGCCACCCGCAGGATGTTGATGCATCTTGTTCCTAGTATCACTCGGGCTGTTTATGCTCATGCGTGTCTCTGTGTCACACCTGCAAAGAAGCTCAAAGTCAAACCCTCTTTGATGTGTTGCTGTTTCCCTCCCCTCCTTCTGGCAGAGAGGGGACACGCCCCTGCACTTAGCTGCCAGGAACGGCCACTTGGACGCCGTCCAGCTGCTGCTGCAGAGCTTTGATACTCGGGATGAAGTCAATATGGTAGACAATCAGAGTTACCGTTCTCTTCTTTTCTTGGTTTTTGTGGATAATCCACTGTTGGTTCTACTTGGGTTTAATCAAGACCGACGAAACTCAGTTGTGTTACAGCAACCACATGCTGTGATCTAGCATCAACTTGAATTCTGACCTCTGGGCTGTCATGTAATTTCATGGTTCATAATTGCATAATAGCCTGTCCGAGTTGATTCAATGAATAATTTCTGATTTGAGGTTGTTTTTATAAGCATATTATGCTAAATAACTAGTTGGTTTATCTTTGCTCCTGTGTTGCAGGACGGTGAGACAGCTTTGTACCAGGCGGCAGATAACAGTCAGGAAGAATGCGTCCTGGCCCTGCTGGACGCCGGCTGTGACCCCAACATCCTCACAGTGGTACCGACCGATCTCAGATCAGAAGAATGATTCATATTCTGCTGCCATTCATTTACTTATACTGTTTACAAAGCTGCCTAAAACCTGCCAATAAGTCCGAACTCCTGTTCTTTGCAGGCCAAACGCAGCGCTCTCCATGTGGTCTCGGAAAGCGGAGACTTGTCTCTTGTCCAACTCCTTTTAGAGTACAACGCCCATACAGATGTTCAAAACCAGGTGAGGAAACACAAGCCAGCTGGGAGCGGTACATTTCCTTCGTCCTTCTCAGCATTGGTGTGTCTTACCTTGAATTATTATTTATTTGGGGGGGGGAGTGGTAATATAAATAAATGTGTTTGCTCCAAGCAGCTGGAGGCTCCTCTCCACCTGGCAGTGAAGAACGGTCACATCCCTGTTATCCATTCTCTTGTAGCAGCAGGCTGCAACATCAACGTAGCCGACAAGGTAGGATCAACCTCACACAGAGAAACAGCAGCGCGTCAGGTCACAAACTTTCCCACATTAATTATTAGATATAATTTTCTTCTTTTGGGGAATTTTTCTGTAGGTTTGAGGGAAGGAAGTAGAAGTAGACAGATGAAAGAAAAGTACAGAAGGAGAAAATTAAAAAATTCAGAAAAGTGCTGGTCAGTAAGGATGGAAAAGTTAAGAGGAATATTAGAAATTAAAGCAGGAAGGGAAATGAGAAAGGGATAAAAAAAATGGAAGGGAAACAAGAAGAAGCAAAAAATAAGGGAGAGAGGATTGAAATAATAAAAAGAATGACAAAAAAGTAAAATAACACTAATAGATGCAACATTTATTTGAGCTAACGGAGAATGAAGTGAAATATATATATATATATATATATATATATATATATATATATATATATATATATATATATATTTTTTTTTCTATGCAATCTTCTGTATCTGGACTTTGAAAATACTTGAGTTATCCAGACAAAGTATGTATGAACCCTGTTAAGACGCCTCATGTCCTGTTAGAGACTCCAGACCGCGCTGCATCTCTCGGCGGAGCTCGGCAGGACTGAAGTCGTGGAAATGCTGCTAAAATCTGGTGTGGATCTACAAATCCGGGACAGAGTGAGAATACACACATGGTTTCAACACAAAATCACCTCAAGACAGTCTGACGTATAATGCATTCATGTCACAGCACAAGCAAAATAAAGAAAATTGTGTCAGAAATGACACAACTCATGTTGTTATTCTGCTTTGCTTTATCAATCTCCTTTTCTGTGCCGGATCTGGAGTAGCAGGGTAAAACTGCTCTGGGTGTGGCAGCCAGAGCAAACGAGGTAATCATTGTGGACATGATCATTAAAGCAGAACGATACTACAGCTGGAGAAAGGTGAGAGGGAAAAAAAAAAATCCAAATATGCATGTTAGCTGATGCGGTTGTAGCATTTATATGAGCTCCATGCCGTCTTCAGGGCTTCAAATTAATCAGAAATGATTTATTTGGCACCAACACATGCTCAATTAGCTGTGTTCCCTCTAATAACATTAAAGGATCCCATGTGAAAAAAAAAGAAACATTTGACAGGCAATTTACCAAAAATGTAATTAAAGATATGCATGATTCACTAACATGATTAGTGAATGATGATTGCAGACATGCTTAGCTCTGACATTCATATTGCTAATCATTTGTTTTGGTGCTTTGCCAATAACCTCTCTCCATAGCGCTGTGTTTTCAGGGACCGATGGCCTTTATCAGCCCTCTGATATGATTTAATTGCCCTTTCAGGCCAACCCTGAGCTCAATGAAAGCGTTCACAGCGAGCATCCGCTAACGTTTAAACTTGACCACCGGAACGAAACCAAGCAGCTCCGTTCTGCTGCCTGGCGCCTGGCGTACGAGCTCCTGAAACCCGGAGACTGGAAAAGGCTGGCAGAGAACTGGGCCTTCACCAAGGAGCAAGTGGCGGCTATTGAGGATCAGTGGACAGGTGGCACAAAAACCAACACACAGGACTTTAAAAACTCAAATCAGTTTTCACTGATAATCACTGTTCAAGTTCAAGTCACAGGACGTAGACTGTAAAAGGAGTCCTATGCATTTTTACACATCATAATTCCATACTTTTCCAGACTGGTAGCCAGAGTGCTAATCTTTAAATAGAAGTAGAAAATATTCTAAACTAAAACTTGTCTAATGTTTCCAAGTCAGACTTTAAAGGAGCAGAAAAAAAACCCCTCAGAATGTAAAGAACTGAGTGAATGACTGACAGCTGGTTGGATAAAAGGATGAAAAAACCAGGATATGTGGACAGATGGATGAGCAACAGATGAACTGATCAAACAGGGCGGAGGTTATAGTCAGAGGTCAGACGTAAGATGAAGGGATTTATAGTGAGATGCACTGAAAGTAGAAAGATAACAGGCAGAAAAGCATGATTTGACAGATTTATGGACGGGCGAACGAAGAATTTGACACAAGGCATTTTAAGCCCTGGTTGAGTACTGATCTGCATGTCATTGTGTTTGAGTGCAGCTGGGTGAATGGCTAGTGGCTAGCTTGACTAGGAAAGTGCTGTATAAACCTCAGCCCATATGAATATTAACGCTTATTTCTCCTACTTACTCAAATGCCAGACGACACAGGAACCCTGTAATCAAAACACCTCCCCGTTGAACTCGCGGCTCTCGCTTCAAAACGTCTTGACGGGTCGACCTGCTTTTCCTGACTCTACGCCGTTGTGTTTGTTTGGCTCCCAGGTCAGCGCAGCTACAGAGAGCACGGCCACAGGATGCTGCTGATCTGGCTCCACAGGGAGGAGCTCGCTCAGACCAATCCTTCCAAGCAACTCTACCAGGAACTCATCCTCACTGGGAACAGGAAGGCTGCTGGTACCTTCAACCGACATGCATGCAAACATCGCTCTGTCCCGGTGTACAGTGTTCAATCAAATGTCATTTCGTCTTGCAGATAAGATTCGGACGGACGCAGAGAACACCGGCAAGAGTTGCTGCATTTCATGATCAGTTTTGTCTGCTTAATTATCAACCATGGATTTCTGTAATAAGTTAGTGGTAAAAGCATTTATTTAGAAAATAGCAACGTGCTGCTGATCAGTAAAATATGGCTTTGCATTGAGAAAGTAAGCAACCATTGCTGCTAGATTGTTTCTAAATCATGAATGGATGCACAAAAATGATTTTATGCAATAAAATCCACGTTCATAATGTGCATAATTTAAAAGCAAATATCTGACATGAGGTAAAGGTCAATTTATAGCCCTAAACTGTAAATAATAAGTAGACATTTCTACTACTCTATCTGCTATGCCTTTACATAAATGAAAGCCAACTAAAAAAAACAAAACAAAAAAAAACAACAAACAACAACACAGAGGTAAATCTGTTGTAGGATATCAAACTTCACATGAATGTTTAAAAGACAAATGAGGATTTTTGCATAAAATAAATTAAATGCTATCACTAAATTTAATGCACTAGGGGGTGGTCATTCCACTTCCTTGATTGAGTGGACGCTGCATGTGCTGGTGTGTGTTCGCGATGACGCTCTGCCTGCAGCGGACGTGTGGCTCTGCTGGAACGGCCGAGGAAACTTCGAAGCGATCGCCTGTCCGACCGTCAGCTGGAAGAACCGAGAGAGAGACATTTTACAGCTTCAGACAGCTGGAGGCTAGACTTAGTGTACACCATGAAGGGCAGATCTCCACCACCTGTCATACCTGCGTAATAGGATGATGGCGTTCTACTACGACAGAGCTCATTGGTGGAGCTACTCCCGTCACCTGAAGACCGCCGTGTGGGACCTTACCGACATCGGCTCGCGCAGTGATGCGAGCCGTCACGGTCTTTGAGGGTTTCTGTTGACCTGCCGTCAAAATCCGAGCAGCAGACTGAAAGAACACGATAACACAGCTGCATTTAGAAGAAAAAAAGCATTTTTACGGATGTAACAAAGAGAGAGACTGCCAGTAAAAGTTGGCAGGAAAGTTTAGCTATATTTGCTTAATTATATGTTCTATTCCCATACATCTTTGAACATTTTTGACTTCCCCAGACTTCTTAGTCCTTCACAGCCATTTTAAAATATAGAATGGTTCAGTGTGTGTACCACACAGCTCAGTCCCTAAATGTGGAACTGGAAAAAACAGAGACTTGAAGAAAGCAAAGAAAGAAAGAATGCAAGAATGACAACCAGGAAAGAAAGAAAGGAAGAAAGAAAAGCACAAGAAAAAGAGGACACAAGAAAAGAAAGGAAGGACAGAACAAAATAAGATGGAGAAATGAGGGAAGAATGTTAGGAAAAGAACCAAAGGAGGAAGGGCAAAAGAAAAACGCAAAGAACGCCAAACAGAAGTATACAACATTTAGCCAAAGGGAATAAAGTCTGGAAACATAAATACTTATTTCACTTTTCCATACTTATCCAGACCTGGAAAAACACCGACATAAATGTCATACTGTCCAGACTGAACTCTGATTCTACACTGATGTGAAAGTGGACTTCCCTAAAACCTCAGGTCCCCTTGACCACGATCATTTTTCCGCTAACCTGTTTGTGGGTGCTCGCGATGCCCCCTAGTGGCAGAGAGCTGTGCAAAACTGTGGTGGACGGAAGCATCTCCTCCTGAGAGATGGAGACTCTGGGGCCAACCTATTGGAAATACAGAATATGCTAATTGTTTGGGATCACAAAGAAAAAGAAAATGTCAAAGACCAACACAAACTAGTACAAACTTTACGTGCCGTCTTCCAGGAATTCCCTGTGTTTAGCTCCACTAGCTCTGAAAGGGCCTCAATATTCCTGGTGGACAAAACAGACCCACAGCATGATGCTGCCACCACCATGTACTAACATTGTGGCGATGGGTGATGTGGATTTTTTTCAAGCCAGCCAAACAGTTCAGTTTTGCTCTCATCATTTTATATTTGTATTTGTAAAATAAATAAAAAATAAATAAATAAAAAACACTCATTACTTTTCTTTCATTTCAGTTTCCCACTGCTTTGTCTCCATATATTTCACACAAGTGACTGTAGTGTAAATGAATATCTATAGTGAAATGACAAGCACATTGTTCGCGTGAAAACCTAGAAGAGGTTAAAATTGGTGCACACTGGCTAATCTAAGAACAAGAAAATGAAAACATAAACCAACTCATAAATGCAAAAACTTACAAAGGTGTAAACAAAATGAGAAAAGGAAAATAAAGCTAGCCCAGTACATTGTCAGTCTCTCACCATATCATCAGCTTCCCTTTGTGTAGGCTCAAGGCGGTCAAAGTGGACTGGACTAAACCTTTTCGAGGTAGTGGGAAACGGCTGATGCTTAGGCAACGTAGCTGATCCGCGCTCGTCCTGGCCAGGCGAAGGATCTACGAGAAAAACAGAAGGTAACGTTACCACTAAATAAACATATACATAAAAATTCAAACACCCGTGCAGGACTAATAGAGCCTAATTATTCCATGTGCCTATTCAGTTGGCAAAAGTGGCACATTGTTGACAAGACTATGAAGAATCAGGACAGAGTATTACATTAGCAGCCTGCGCTGACAGTAAGATAACGGCGAGCAAAACTCATTAAAGCCGAGGCCAGATGGATGAGCAAAGGAACATGCTACAACAAGCTGATAATAATGAAACCCTCCTCCAGCCGCTTCAGCAGGATGGCTGCTCAATTTGGTAAATCCTGATCATTTTTGTTACAGCATGGTGCCAACGTTTTGAAATATTGAACTAACAGGATGAAAACATATAGAGATTCTGGATTGAGTCCCTGAGGTAAAGTGATATTGTGTAGTCACATCAAGTGACAAACAATTAAAATAGTAATTAAAGGAATCTCTAAACCACTAACTTATATTTGCAATTTATCATTTCAAACGGGA